CAAAAAATATTATATTAATAAATAAAAAGTATATTAATTAATTTATTGGACAAAAAATATTTTTAATTATCAGAAGAATAATAATTACTAAATATTATTAAATTAATTAATCACTATTTAAATGGGTAAAAAATTTCACTTATTAATAATAATTAATTTCACTTAAAAAAATTAAATAAAAGATATATTAAAAAATATATATATTAATAATTAGTTGTATTAAACTTCAGTTGAATGAGTTTTTTTTTTATTCTAACGTCCACTTTATAACAAATTATTTTGAATATATAACATAATAATTTATAATAATATTATTTTGTATAAAAAAAAACATGGTGTCCGGCCGGTCTGACCGGTCACGATCGGCCATCGAGGCCGGAGGCCATTTGGGCCGTCCGGTTTCGGCGGCCGGACAACAATATTTTTTTTTTTTACTTTTTAAAAAAAAATGGTAGGAGCAAAAATGTCCACGGAGGATAGTAAATAGTAATAGGGGGCGGTGAATAGATTGATATTTACATGTATTATTAATCTATTTGATCTATTGATCTACGGACAATCATGTCTATTGATCTACTATGAAAAATAGGATCATTACAATGTTGACAACAATAGATTGATATTTACATGTATTATTAATCTATTTGATATTCATAATAATCCTGTTTGGATTTATATTAAAGATTTATAATCTTAATCTCAGGATTTATATTAAAGATTTATAATCTTAATCGGGAGATGGATTCATTACTTGAGTTCAGTTTCCAGGTCATTATATTAAGTGACAAATTAAGTATTAAGATTGTCAAACATGTCTCATTCTTTCAATATTGGGAAATGCTACATTGTCAATCTAGCGTACAACTAGATTGACAATATAAGCGGAAACCTCCACTTGTGTATTTTTTTATTTTTTAGATATTTTTACTTGTGTTGTCAACCAGATTGTACAATAGTTTGTCAATGTGTCATTTTTCTTCAATTTTTTATGAGGCCATCCCAAAATCATATTGTTGCAATTTGCACATGTATGACCGACTTAGATGTACAATTATAATTATTCATAATAATAATGTTCAATAAAGTATCAAGTAGCCCAACTTTTTATATTACATTTTTTTTTTTGGTACAATTTATACATGTTCAATTATTATAACATTGTTATGAAAATAACACGTTCAACGGTTCAAATGGTACACAATTTTTATATTTTTACGCGTGAAATCAGACAGACTTTTTTTTTATTTATCTTTTTTTTCTCCCAAAAAGGGAAAAGCTTCTTAATACAGTCATACAGAACATGTTCAATTCCCCAAATTGACCTCTACAAGCAAGAGAGTGACAGAAGGTAAAAAGGGAACTGTCTTAAAAAGGGAAGGGCACATCTGTCATAACAACATGTCCAAAAAGCCAGCTATGCTTACCACCAGTCTGATGCTGTCGTGGGTGCCACAAAACCGACAGATCCACGTCTCATTCTATCCGACGGTCCGGAACTCACGATCAAGAATTTGAGGTTCATTTCAGCTGAATTTCATTTGTGGCTGAGTTTCATTTCTCCTGTTTTAAACAAAGCCAGCTCCCCATTCAAATGGAAAGCACAGTTCACATTTTATCGCAGAGGAAGAGCGAGGAGAGAGAGAGACTGATCCATTCTCAGCAAGGCTTCAAAGGTATGAGCGTTAACCTTGAAATGTCTAAGCTTTTTCATTCTCAAGTTTTGAATTTTGAGGAAAGGTTTAAATTTTTGTTCGGAAATGTTTTCTTTTTTAAGTGTTTTGTTTCGTACTTGTTTCCCATTGTCTGATCCGTGCGTAGATTTCCTGTTTATGCGATTCCTTTATTGCGGGATCTAGTTGTATTGGCTTTTTTTGTGCGAGTTTCTATTCATGGATCTGCCAATGAGTTTTGAATTGTGACCAATATTAATCAAGAGGGCTGACTGTTGATTAATGGATGCCACATGTTTCATTTTCATGCTTATTGATGGAGATTTTACGTATGTACTTGCATTTTTATCATTATGTGGGATCTCACGTGCAGCCGTAAAATCTTGAAATTTTCTCAAATTTGCTGAAATTTAAATGAATAAGCGTGTGTGTGGATTCATATTTTTGGATTACTGTATCGATGCTTTTGATTTTCATGCTCCGGAGTTAGCTACTATTTTGATCTTCAACGTCTGCTACTGAATCATCTCCAAATGCATTTGAAATTAAGGATCTTTGTTGTTCATTTCTGAAGCATAGAAGATATTAGATTCCAGTCGACCCGCATTAGGATCCCATGTTTGTTAAATATTTTGTTGTCAAAAAAAGAAAAAGGAGTTGCTTGGGAATAGTTTGCAATGTGTGTATCAAGACTCAATCATGAGGTCCATCTGATTTGATTCGACATTGCTTTATTAGAATATTAGAATGGCACTTCACACTTGATGGTCATCTAATAAAAAATGATCCTTTCTTGATCAACTGTAGTATGGCCAAAATTTTAACTACCAATATCCGTTTTCCTGATTAAAATTTATCAATTGTTAAAACATTTTTTTTTTGTTTTTTTTTTGGGTTCAGTAAAATATTAAGAGATGGCAGAAGCCGAGGATATTCAGCCCCTTGTCTGTGACAATGGAACTGGAATGGTCAAGGTACTCTAAACATTCACTACCCAGAAAATACTCATTTCAATTGTAATCCCATTGTTATACCCAAATCAGATAACCTTATCATATCATTAAAGGATGCAGAAGCTTATGTTATTGAATATTTACTTTTGATCATCTGAATTATCAGGCTGGATTTGCTGGAGATGATGCTCCTAGGGCTGTCTTCCCCAGCATAGTGGGCCGCCCTCGTCACACGGGTGTGATGGTCGGCATGGGCCAAAAAGATGCCTACGTTGGTGACGAGGCCCAATCCAAGAGAGGTATTTTGACTCTCAAGTACCCAATTGAGCACGGAATTGTGAGCAACTGGGATGACATGGAGAAGATTTGGCATCACACTTTCTACAACGAGCTTCGTGTTGCCCCTGAGGAGCACCCCGTCCTTTTGACCGAAGCTCCTCTTAACCCAAAGGCCAATCGTGAAAAGATGACTCAAATCATGTTTGAGACATTTAACTCTCCGGCCATGTATGTCGCCATCCAGGCTGTTCTCTCCCTTTATGCCAGTGGTCGTACAACTGGTAAGGAAAAATATATATAAATAAATAGATTACCCATGCATGTCATGCTTGCAGTATTTATCTGTTATTAAATTATTCATATCTGAACTCTGAAGCCTGATGACTTATGAAGATAAACTTGTGTTCCAACTCATAAGCCTGATTTACCTCTTATGAGAGTTCTCTGTCTGTAGGTTGCTATTTGTAAATTTTTGAAGTAGAGATATTTGTCCACGAGTACGTATTCATTTAACTCTTGATAATATTTAGATATTTGGCTAAACATAAGGGAAGTTGTTTTTGTGGTTTGCCTTATTCATTTAGCCATATATATAGTAGGTGGTGTTTACTCATTCTTTATGAGCTTCACTTGTTTTGGTAGGTATTGTACTCGACTCGGGTGATGGTGTCAGCCACACTGTCCCCATCTACGAAGGGTATGCCCTACCACACGCAATCCTCCGCCTTGACCTTGCTGGGCGAGATCTCACAGACCATCTCATGAAAATTCTTACTGAGAGAGGCTACTCCTTCACCACCACAGCCGAGCGCGAAATCGTGAGGGACATCAAAGAAAAGCTGGCCTACATTGCCCTCGACTACGAACAAGAGCTGGAAACGGCAAAAACGAGCTCGGCCGTCGAAAAGAATTATGAATTGCCAGATGGACAGGTCATCACTATCGGAGCTGAACGATTCAGGTGCCCGGAGGTCCTTTTCCAGCCGTCCATGATCGGGATGGAAGCTGCTGGCATTCACGAGACTACTTATAACTCGATTATGAAGTGTGACGTGGATATCAGGAAGGATTTGTACGGGAACATTGTGCTGAGTGGTGGGACCACCATGTTCCCCGGCATTGCTGATCGGATGAGCAAAGAGATCACGGCCCTTGCTCCAAGCAGCATGAAGATTAAGGTGGTGGCCCCACCCGAGAGGAAGTACAGTGTCTGGATCGGAGGCTCCATTTTGGCCTCTCTCAGCACTTTCCAGCAGGTATATATATATATTGCTTAATTTGTTTTGGAGTAGTTCTGGCAGGAGCTTCAATGCTTGTTCTTTTGTTTTCTTCTTTGTAGATGTGGATAGCCAAAGCAGAGTACGACGAATCTGGGCCCTCAATTGTTCACAGAAAATGCTTCTAATCAGAAATCTCATCTGGAAAGAGCGTTTATACAAAATCACTTGACTTGCTTGTTGTGTTATGCATCATATTTCCTCTCCTCTCTCCTTTTTTCTTGCTTGGCCTTTCTTTCTTTTTGGTACTTCTTGGTGTTGTATTTTTTTGGGTCCTTTCAAGTTTTTGAGCTCGAAAACATTCCGTTTTCTTCAATTTATTATATGTTTAAAATTTTAGAAGACGCCTATTCCTCGGATGAAAGGGTCTCACTCTCACATCACATGTGTGACTTTAGCACTACTTTTAGTCTTTTACATGTTTGTTGGGTCTCACTAGTCATCATCATATATTGTAATTTATATGAAGCTTGTAATACCAGATTGAATTTGAAGCTATGGACATTTTTTTGGTCTCATTGTTTCTTCTCTTTTGGTAACTCACAAACAGTGATGCACAACAGAAAAAAGTAGCTCAATTATTTATCATAGTCCACAATATAACAATACATCCATTGTTTCATACATAGTAATAATAATAATGATAATTTAGAAAGAGGCTTGGAGTCGCTGGATAGTCTTCTCATCCAGCTGGTATGCTTTGCCCATGTACTCGCTGTCAATTGGCGGCTTGGCCGCAAAAATGCCGTTAGTAAACGTCACAATACCTGCATTTTGACTGTTAACAACGGCCAACAACACGGTGTTGTTTTGCCCCACGTTGCGAAAATAGTGAAGAAGCCCAACTGGGATTATGTACACGTCACCCTTTACGAGGTTCTTGCTGTAGTGCACGTAAGAAGGAGCCGAGCTGACGAACCCAACCTCGAGGGTGCCCTCAAGAACGGTGATGGCCTCAGTGGCCCGCGGGTGGTAATGGGGCGGTATGAACCCTTGTGGGGCCAGGTCAAGTCGGGCTAGGGCAAGGCCCAATGTGTTGAGGCCCGGGAGTGTAGCTACACTTACTGGAGTCAAGGCTGCCCTCAACGGGTTGGACGTGTTTCCCGGGAGGTGTAGCCCACGAAGGAGGAAGTCTTCCGATTTCACTAATGTCGGGTCTTTGCACGGGAAACCCGACCCCAATCTAACTGAGCTTTTGGTGTCTGCAACACAAAAGTCATGGAGTGGTCTTGGATCAAAACCATGGGAAATGAAGATGAAGTTGAGGATTATTGTGAGCATGGTGAAGAAGAGAATGTTTGAAGCCATTTTTGAATGTTGTGGATGATTAGTTGATGATTAGAGGGAAATGATGACAGTGCTTTGTGGTGGGATGAGGAAACAATGTAAAGTGATAACGCAGTTATATATAGGTGATTAGAGAGAGATTTGTGCCTATAATTCACTCATTTTAACGAAGATGCTTTTGGATATTGTATATGATTGTCTGTCATCTTGCCAAAATCCACGGATAATTAAATAAATTAATTACTCATTGATTTCGTAAAATAATGTGTATGGTAGTCCACTTGGTACTGNAGTAAATGTAAAATTTCATTTATGAATAAAATGGCCAAAAACAGAATATTTAGAACGCCTTCTAGCGGATTTTATATGATAAACCGAACATTTTATTTCATATTTATTTATTATTTTTTTAATTCCTCGATTAAAAAGTAATTATAGATTAAAAGCACATTCATTTTTTTTAACCTGTAATGGTAGTTGTTTTTCAAAATAGCATTTATAAATCAGTGATCTTGATTTCATTTTATAGATCATATAAATTCTTCTGAAATAGTAAATTTATTTTCTGTGGAATAGTTTTGGGAAGAGCATATTATTTGAGTGATACTTGCTTAAAAAATGGCATTCAAAATCGTTACTATTTGATATTATTCCAATTTCCAAATCAAGTTTTAGGTTTTAACATAATTTGAGAACGAGAGCACATCCTAATTGAGATCCCCAAAACACGTAACAAGATCATCAAACATCAAACTTTTGTGGATGATAATAACATAAGAATAATATCAGCCTGTCAATGAAAAGCCCAATCCATTTATGTCCTACAAATATGGAGCTACCATTTGAAAAACTTGGGCCTTTCCAGTAACCCTTAACTCAGGAATATAGCCCAATTAAGATAAATATTTATTCGGCTGCTATATTTTGAGAGATAGGACCTAACCTAACCAGATGGTCATGGAGAATCGGAGATGCATACTCATCACGAAAAGTGGGGGAAAAAATCATAAGCAAAAAGTTTTATTTACTAATTTAGGGAAAAACTAAATCAAAATTTAGTTATTAATTGTTATTGAGGTGCCTCAGATTTGGGAAAGTAAAATGATGATGATGCTCTTTATCAACTTAGGCAAAAGAATAGCTAAAATTTTAGGTTAGGCTAATAATCTCAACAGCTCTTAATCAGCCCTCAATCAGCCAGCAGCCACAACGTACGGCCAACTTGAGCAGTGGGCCACTGCCAGGTGGTGACCGTAAAAACTAATTTAAATTAGTGACTATTTAATTAATGCAAATCCACATTATGATCCAGCTAGTTGCTCATTTATTTTCATTATAATAATCAGATTATAATATTCTCTAGGTGCTGTAATTCTTTTGCATAATGCTGCGTGTGTGTCTCTTGAGCTAACATTTTATTTAACCTCATGATTACTCAAAATTTAATGCTATAATGAATGTATAATTGATAGTTCATTAATCACTCGCATTAAGTAATTAGTAACGTTTGTGGTCCTAATTTAATAAAATGTTTAGAGCGCGAGGTGTGAGGTTAAACATCGATTAGTCTTGTGTTAGCTAGGTAACTCTGGCCATTAGGCCAACATAGTTTTTCTAAAAATATGTATGCTTTCAATAAAAATGACATATTTTAGTAAAAAATACAACATTTGATAGTGTAACTTTGCAAATTTTATCCAAATAATCCGATCCGTATAAGGGTGGGTTAGTCTGTCTCAAACTTAAATTTTTGAAATACACACCTAGTTTTGTATTTAAATTAATAGAACAATTATTTAGGCCAGTCTCATGGAACTATAACTTGATAGAACAACATTGATAATTATATAAAACTCAATCATGAACTCAGTCAATTACTAGATTAGTACTTAAAATGTGTATTTGAGACATAATTTAAAATTTAAATAATTTTGTGGTAGCCATTTTTTGTGCTTATTATCCTTCAAATTTGAATTCCTTGGCCTCATCGGCTCATCCATCCAATACTAATAAATGAGTCAATGATTATGGTAGCATTAGGGATTACAACAATAATGGGCATTAATAAAGTGGCAAATGTGATGATTAAGTGAAAATTGGCTTTGCCTTGAAAGTCTGAGACGTAGAAGAAAAGGGTTGAAATGGCTGCCCATAAATTAAGAAAAAAAAAAAAAAATTCAAATTCAAAATGAAAATAAAAATAAAATCATGATTGGGCAAAGAGTTGAGATCGCAATTCACACGGTCTCCGTAAAAGGCGTAGTTGCTAAGGAAGCGTGGTCAAAAAACAATCTCATCATTGCGAAGAAAAAAGAATACTACTTTTTTAGTTTCTTTTAACTTAAACTATTTTATTTCATTTATAGTAATTGAATAGTATATATACGTCATAAATTTCAAATTTCAACCACCGTCAATATATGCAATGTTTCCAGTTAATTCTTATCACCTACTATAAGTCATGAAATAGAGAACAGTCTAAGCTTATTATTTTTGTGTATTAACTGGTGATAAAGAAGAATAGTCTTATTTGGTCAATCCACTCTAAAAAATAAGGTAATTATTATTATTACTTACCACGATTTTGCTATAAAGCCAACGGTCGGCTCCATAATGGAACCAACCGTCTATAATCAATATACAACAAGTCAACCTTCTATAATACTAATAAATAAAAATATTAATATAGTATGGTTGACTTGTTGTATATAGAAGGTTGACTTCACTATGAAACTAATCATTGACTTCATAGCAAAACCATCACTTATAATCTAATCTAGTCTCATTGAACAGTCATTTTCTCATTCAAAATCAAGGGTCGACTCATTAAGACTCGAGTTAAGCTCAACTCGATAATCAAACTAGCCGAGCTGGATTGCATTTAGTTAATGTGCCCGAGCTTAAAGTTAAAAATCTTAACTTTTATTTATTTTTTTATAATTTGACTCGTTAATATTAATAAACGAGGCGATCTTCAACTCATTTGTAATATCGATAAAACTTCAATCATGAGTTGGAATACATCTTGACCCTTACCTTGCTGATTAAGCATGCTTGGATATAAAAAGTTTTGGTTTGATTGAATTTTTTGTTTGAGTTTTTAAAAAAAATTATATGATTAGTTGTTAGTGGGTATATTAAAATAATATTTAAAATAAAATGATTAAAATTAAATTGATGTAAAAGTAGGAGAGAGAAGATGTGATGTGATAGTTAGTTAAAATTATATGAGTTGATGAATAGTGAATTAAGGTTGATGTTGTGTGTAAAAATGATTAATTGATATTATTGATAATAGTGGGGTTGAGTTAAAGTTGAATTAAAAAAAAGTAATTGAATTAAAAATGATTGGATTTTTGGGTTAAATTTGTATTGAAGCATGTTTCTTTTTCCTTTTTCATTTGATTTTAAATCAAGAAATTAAAAGGGACCCATCTCCATTAGTTGTGATAATGTGGGCATTACATTTACATGGCATAATCATTAGAGAAATTAGGCAACAGTTATACATACATGAAGGGGATGAACATCATCAAGAGATGGAGCAATATTGTGTAGGGCTTTTGTCTCATACTTTGGCAGCAGCAAAATAGCATCCCAGGTTGATTAAAAAGCTCTTTTGCATGTGAATGTGTGATGATGGTAATGATGATTGTAATGACAATGATTAAGATATACTTATGTAGTTTTGTGGCAATAGTTAAAAAAAAGTTTTCATAATTGAATATTGAAAAGCATGACAAGCAAACAATCATTATGTCTCATAAGTGAACAAAGGATGCTTCTATTTTGCATGAGAAACTGTCTTTTCACTACAGTGCAAAACCTTTCATTACTTTGAGCCACCATTTGTTTAAAAAAATAAATATAAATAAACAAGTGGGCACTGCAAATTAGTTATTTATTTGCTTTTCTATAATTTCTGCTTTTCAGATTAGGTGCATCAATTAGTGAATGATGATTAGGGATCACATGGTCCATAATGTCATCACNTGAAATATAATGTTTTGTATACTCTCAAATTGAAATATCGTATTTTAAAAATAACACAAAAAATATATAATATTTCATAGTATTTATTTTTTTGTATAAAAAAATATTAACGAATTGAGCCGTATAAGCTAAATACTGACTCAAAGTACGTGTAGAAGTTTTGTTCTTTCTGATTCCCTAATTCCACAATAAGAAAATATATTCTTTTGAAATAGCAGAATAAAATACGATACACACACACACAAAAAAAATAAAAGATACTAAAACTTACTGTATTAATTAATTAATTAGTTAATTGTTACATCCAATAACTTCATATAAAACACGCCAGGTCTTTGTTTTTACATTTTTATAAAGTTATAAAGTTTTCATTATTAATACTGACAAAAGTTTGAGATAGCCATCATTACAGA